CATTCCCTGGGGGAATCAAGAAATCCTGTCTGCCCACAGACCCCACGTTTTTTGGATGAATTAACCTGCTCCTTGTTTCCTTATCAATTAAAAAAAAAGAGGGGTTTAGATTTATTTTGCCTGGCTGGAAAGCAGGAAAGATTTCCAGTCAGGTTTTTTTTTTTTTATTATTTCCCCTGTGTTGAGAGATCCAAGCCCAGTTATTTCCCACTGCACAAACTTAGGCTGAGTCCAGCTTGGTCACCACAAGCTGATGGAGAGAGCTGAGCACCTCCAGAGGGTTTAAGTCACTTTTTAACAGGATGAACCACTTTTTGGGGACATCCACCTCTTTTCAGAGACTAAAAAAAGGCTCGTTTGGGTGAGGGATGCCTTTACTCAGAGCCTTCAAACAGGCTGAAAAACGTGCAAGATGATGGTTGCTCAAGGGAGAGAGGATGAAGATGAGGGTGGAGACACAGGGTGGAGCCTAAAGCTGACAACGAAATAACTAAATATTGGCCAATTCCTGCAGAAGGACACGGGAAAAGATTAGTTTTAGCACTCAAGGTTGTCTGAGAAGGGTGTTGGAAAAGGTGAAGAAGCAACTGTGAACTGGTCAGGGTTCTCCTTGTCCCTGTGACACCTTGTATGGCCTTTTAGTGCCTCCCAAAGCCTCATAAAACTGGTTTTATCCCACAAGGAGAGCCACTTCCACAGGAATCTGCTGAAGGGTGGGGGTTGGACAAGGCTGAAGAAAAGCACTGCCAGCACAGCAGGAGGTTCTGGGGCTCTATCTCCCATTTTAATTGACATTTTCATCCCCAAGCCCTCTTATGGATTAGCTGGGAAACATTTGTTTGTGTCACATTGAAATTGGAATTTGGATGGATGTGTAACTTTGCAGGAGACACCTCGACTCCATTAAACATAAAACTTCTGGAATTCCTCATCCATTAAAACATGAAATCCTGGGGTTGCTACTTGTCCAAGCCATTCATATCCAGCCCTGCTGGGTTTCCCTTTTCATAATCCCTAAGGAATAGGAGCCAAATGGGACTCGGACACGGACAATCCCAGCTGTGCCTCTCCTGATGTTGTTCCTTCCTGAGCTTCTCCACAAAGAAAATCTCCCTTGGAGGAGCCTCTCCTTGAGCACATTTCACTCATTTTTGTCCATATTCCCCTTGAGGAAACACAGGGGGAAGGAACCGATGCCATGTGCAAATCCTACATGTCCTGGCTTCCCAAATTCCCACTGCCTTGACATCCCAAGAAGAGACGCTCCCTTGCTCCGGGAGATCAATTCCCAGGTCCGATAAATCAATTTATCCGGATTTTAAGCAGCTAAAAATAACCCTCCCCCCACTAAATTTCGAGATTTGCCAGCTCAGCTCCAAGGAAAAACCCTGGAGCAGAGGGTGAGGCTGCCTGGAGCCTTAGGGATCCCAGATCCCTGCAGAGGGCACAACATCCCTGCGGATGGAACCGCCCAGGAAAACCTGGGAGCTTGCTCTGCTCCTCCACATCATTTGAAATGGATATGGATTTCTATTTCTATTTTCACTCGCTCATTTGCCAGCAGCAAAAACGAGAACATTTCCTGTTTCTCCTCCTCCTCCTCCTCCTCCTCCTCCCGCTTGTAATCAGGAGATCACCAAATTAGGCCCGGCCTAATTACTCCCTCAGCAGGTGCCAAAGCCAGGAATGGCACCAGCAAAAAAAAAACCAGGAAGGAAGGAAGGACCTTGGAGTTCAAGCCAAACAAATCACATCTATTGTCTGCCTCCAGGCAGCGAAGTTTTCCTATAAAAAAGGAACATTTTGGACAATGGCCCACGGGCAGGGAGCAATTCCTGCGAGAGCTCAGGAGAAGTTTATTATTAATAATAATAACGAGCTGCTCAGCAGATGAAGCTTTTCCTCAATGAAACCAGGCAATGGGAAAGAATTCCTTGCTCAGGAAACACAAGGGGCTTTTTCAGCTTCCCCCTGCCACCAGCGAGCCCCAATTAGCCATTAAGGGGATTATGGAGAAGCAGCAATTACTGCCCACATTTAGTGGCTTTCAATGGCACTATTTATCCCTGCATGATCCTGGTGCTCCTCTCCAGGGAGAGGGCCATTTTACAGCTGGAATACTGGGATGGACAGAGAAGAAGGTATTTATTGACAGTGACACAGGAAAACTGTGATAAACCAAATACCCAAAGGGCTTCAAGGGAACAACCCCATGTCCAGTGGGATCACGCTGCCTTCGGCTCCCACACCGTGGCCAGGGAAGAAGATAGAGATGGATCATCCCAAAAATGCTGATGAGCAAGGAGGGAGCATTTGATGGCCTCCCTGAAAGAGTAAATTTACAGAATTGTGTTGGGAGGGGTTCACAAAACCCAGTGCGTGTGGATTTACAGGGTTATTAATCCCCAGAATCAGAGAATCCTAGAAATGTTACAGTTGGAAAAGTCCTCCGAGATCATGGAGTCCTCCCACTCCCCCAGCACTGCCAAGGCCACCAATGACCCACATTCCCAAATGCCACATCCACATGGATTTTAAATCCCTCCAGGGATGGGGACCCCACTCCTGCCCTGGGCAGCCCCTTCCAATGCCTGACCACCCTTTCAGGGAAGAAATTTCCCCTGATTATCCAATCTAAACCTTCCCTGGCGTAACTCAGAACCATTTCCTTCCCACACTGAAATTCCTACAGTGCCATGAGATCTGAGTACCCAGATCTCAACTTAATTAATTCACATTTAGCTGAATCCCTTGCAAATGCTCCAGTGAAGAATCTGATTTGCTTCACAAGAAAGCAACAGCCACAAACAGCTGTTTAGTTTAAAGATGGGACTTCATACTCTCAGTTTGCAACCCGAGGTGACCTTTTATCACAGAGTCACAGAGTGGTTTGGGTTGGAAAGGACCTTCAAGACCATCCAGTTCCAACCCCGACACCTCCCACTATCCCAGGTTGCTCCAAGCCCCGTCCAACCTGGCCTTGGACACTTCCAGGGATCCAGGGGCAGCCACAGCTTCTCTGGGAAATCCATTCCAGCCCCTCCCCACCCTCAGTCAAGGATTTCTTCCCACTCTCTAATTTTCCTACTCTCTGTCAGTTTGAAGCCATTCCCTGTGTCCTGTCCCTCCATCCCTTGTCCCCAGTCTCTCTCCAGCTCTGCTGGAGCCCCTTTAGGCCCTGGAAGTTGCTTAAGGCAAGAGCTGGACTAGTTTCCAAGCTCTACCACCACTGTCATCCACACTCCAAGAGCCTAAACCACAGTGTGATGTGGATAAAGCCAAGACCCTCCACAGGATCCTTATTTCAGCTTTTTTTCCCTGCCTGGAAAAAAACCTCCGTGACCATCCCGGCAGAGGCAATTCCAGAAGCGACTCCTGCCTTCCCAGGGCAAAATCCCAACACCCCAAGAGCAGGTGAACTGGTCTGCAAGCCTTGGTACCTGTAGGCCAGGGTGCAGGTGTCCTTGTACTCCTGGAGCTTCACGCACACCATGTTGAGGAACTGATCCGAGTACGCGCTCAGGTCGTGCATCAGGTTCATCAGGTCCTGCACCGTCTTCTCCACGATCACCGTGCTCTGGGAAAGGGAACAGAAGCCAAGGGATTGATGCCTCAGAGCTTTTTGTTGGTTTTTTTTGGTTTTTTTTTAACTTCTGTATATTTTAGAAGTAGTTGTGTAGCGACTGTAGATTTTAATGTCGCTGTATTACATCCCTTACCCTTAACACAGCAGTTACACATCCCCAACTCTGTTACCCCACCCCATATCAATCCCTCTGAATTCCCTCAGCGTGTTTAGTCTTCTTGTCAAGGCAGAATTGTAGAAGAACACCCTAAGGCCTGGACTAGAAGATATCCCACAGACACAGCGACCTTCAAGCCCAGAACTGCTGGATTGCAAAAACCGGATATGAGAAAAAGGAAAACTGCTGAGTTTAAACAAAGCCTTGGGCTGACAGAGACTGGGGAAAAACCTCCATCTGGAGTCCAGACAAGGATCCATTGATGTCTGGGGTTTGGAATGTCCTGCCCAAGCCTGGAGAAACCATGCCCTGATCTCATCAAACCTGTGCAGAAAACCTTTTGAGTTTTCTCTCTCCCTTTGTGTGGCCTGTTCCCCTCTGTAAAATCCCCGAGATAAAGTAGGGTTTTGCCCGCGAGGTAATTCCTAAGACCCCAAGATGTGTTCACCTGGGCTTTCCCCTTATGTCACCCTTGTGAAACTCCCCGATTTTAATAACATGAATACGTAAACCTCCTGTTAAATATGTAAACTCTGAACCCTTTAAATATGAACTCGTGAGTCCAAATAAACTATTCCAGTTTTCTGCCTCTGCTGGGATCGTGTTCATTTATTGACCTCTGCACAGAACTTTGGAGGAACTCCAAGGACTGGATGTGCTGCAGAGAAGATGAAGATGAGGAAGAAGGAAGGGGTCCTGAAGACCCCAAACCCAATTCCTGAAGGGGCGTGTCAGGGGGCAGAAGAAGAAGAAGGGTTTGAATACCAGGTCTGAAGGTTTGGATTTCTGAGCCGGTTGCTGAGGCCCAGCAAAGTTCACCAGGCCTTTCCTTCACCAGAGGAAACTCAAAGTGAAAAACTGTGTGATTTTTTAGAGGGACAAGGTGCCCAGAGCCCGAATTGCTGCTCCACATCCCACAGATCCCAGAATTGTTGAGGTTGGAAAAGACCTCCACAAGATCAGGGAGTCCAAGCTTTGATCGCCACCTTGTCAGCCAGAGCAGAGCACTGAGTGCCACTAAGACCCTGGACAGAAGGAGGTGCCATATATCCAATAATGTCCAAGATTTCAACAGCTCCATAGGAATTCTGGGATTTCCCAGGCACCCCAAGGTGACCTCTCCCAGTTTGTGTTTATAATGTCGCGGGTTGTGTTTGATTTGGTTGCCGCAAACAAGACAAGGGGAAGGTTATCAAAGTCCCAGGTTGATATAAATTGAATTATTAATAGTCTTTATGACAGAGTGAAGGGTTATTCCTGACCCTCCTCCTCAGTCAGGGCACACCCCACTCCTCAGCAAGGCGGGGTTTAGGGGAAGGTTTAGGCCCCGCCTAAGCTGCTCCTGATCCGTCCTTGGCTCACAACAGCACTTGGAGGAAAAACCTCACTTCTCTTTGGTTCCTCCTGTATCTTATTAAGCAAATCACAGGAATTAACCCATCTTTCATCCCGTGATTAGCAATAATTTGGGATTATTTTGTCCCAAATTATTTGTCCCAGCCTGAAGCAGCTGCTGCTCGGATGCTCCTGTTTATAAAGCTTCTCCTGTTACTAAATAATAAACAAACATTCAATAAATTTTTAACAAATATTCAATCCCACCCCGGGCTTGATGTGCACAGAGGCAGAACAACCGACCCTAAAGGACTTGTCACCTGGAGATGTCCCCAGGAAATGGAGCCCAGAGCAGCCTGGAGGGGCTGGGGCAGCCACGGGGGCCGATTTCACACCCAGGGGCTCCGAGCACGGATCATTAACTCCAGGATTCCAACGGCTCCCAGGCTCACTGCTGTCCCTGCCTGCTGTGCCCAGAGAGGGCAAAAGCAGCGTTTTTAAGAGTCCACCCAAATCCCACTAAAATCGTGGAATCACGGAATGGTTTGGGTTGGAAGGAACATGAAAGATCACCTCCTTCCAAGCAGGGACACCTTCCACTAGCCCAGGTTGCTCCAGCCTGGCCTTGGACACTTTCAGGGATCCAGGGGCAGCCACAGCTTCTCTGGGAAATCCATTCCAGCCCCTCCCCACCCTCCCAGACAGCAATTCCTTCCCAATATCCCACCTATCCCTGCCCTCTGGCACTGGGAAGCCATTCCCTGTGTCCTGTCCCTCCAGGCCTTGTCCCCAGTCCCTCTCCAGCTCTCCTGGAGCCCCTTTATACCCTGGAAGGGGCTCTCAGCTCTCCCTGGAGCCTTCTCTTCTCCAGGTGAACATTCCCAGCTCTCCCAGCCTGGCTCCAGAGCAGAGGGAGTCCAGGCCTGGGAGCAGCTCCAGGGTCTCCTCTGGACTCTCTCCAGCAGCTCCACGTCCTTGTGCTGTTGTTCCCAGGGCTGGAGGCAGCTCTGCAGGGGGGGTCTCACCTCAGGGGGCACAGGGGGAGACTGATCTGGCTTGAGAGTAAAGTCCATGAATGTTGAGCTGATAAATGTGTGGAAATGACACAGTAATTCGGGGAAATCAGATCCATCAGATCCATCAGATCCACTGGACACATTTGGGCTGGTGGAGGAGCTGCTCCTCTTCAACCCTTAATCAGCACCCAGATGGCTCAAAGATGCTCCCATGGACACTGTTTCTGTCAGCAGAGGAAAAGGTGACTCTCCCACCTGCTGATCTTAGCCAGGAGAACATCTCCAAGTGCTCAAATGGAAAATACTGAAGTTGCTGTGTGGCCTCAATCCAAGTCTCCTACTGGGGACTGATCCTGAGGAGTTAAAGTTCACATTTATACACAGGGAATAAAAAGAAAAATAGAAAAATCCCTCCTAGCTCATGTAAAACGGGAGACAAAAGGAACTTCTCTCCTCTTTGTGTGAACAATCAGATTTTTCCTTTTCACTGGTCAGGGGCAGGTGGGGTTTCCAGCAGATCTGGGAGATCAACTGACCTCTTGTAGCTTATCAGGAGAAGGATCTGTCCAGGATCTTCCAGGATCTTCAGGTGACTTCCAGGATCCTCAGGAAGATCCAGAAGGATCTTCCAGGACCCTCAGGTGGCAACAAACCCCTTGGGTTGGACGTGCAACCACACAAGGAGGAATCAAACCTGGTCTCGATCCAGCTCATCTCGGTTTCTTTACGGAACTCAACATTTGAAAAAAAAAAACAACTTTTAAATCCACAACTTCATGTAACAACTTAAAAATCTACAACTTTGCATTAAAAGACAAGGCATTGCTGGTTTCTACGTGGCTTCTCCCACTTATTTCTGCTCCCTGCAACATGAAAAGCCTGCCAATGCCTGGATGTCGCAATGAGACCTTTGGATTTTGGAATAAACCCTTTGGATTTCAGGGAAACACAAAGCCACCGGGATGATTAAAAAAAGAAACCGGGAGGGGCGGAAAAGGGAAATTACCATATGAAAGGAGGCACTGCCAGACACGTTAAGGGCTATTTTTCTGGGACGTCTTAACCTCTTCCAAAGCAATCCTGACACATCTGCCCGAGCCTCTGGGGACACTCTGTGTTGCCAGGACAGCTGGATTCGTTAGCAGGGCCGGGGGAATCCTCTGAAAGCCGGCGCCGGAAAATGAAAGGCAGCACTCGTGTTATCCCGGAGTTACAACCCAGTTGCCTCTGACCCGTCCGGGTTCATTAAGAGCAAATGGATGTGATCAAAGGATAATTTCGTGGCGAGACACTTCAATGGAGGCTTTAAAAAAAACCCAGCAAACCCACAGTAACAAGGAGGCTCAGCCACGGAACAACGTGGGTCCCCTCGCAGCTGACACAGGATAGGCAGACCTGGAGATGTTGTTTCAATAATTCCTTTGGGATTAGTGCCTCGTGCAAGTTTTCCAAAGGACTGGATTCCTTTGCAGCAGGAGAGCACTCCGGGTAAAAGAGTCCAGCTGGAGGGGAGTTTGTAAAGATCCCTTAAAATGCAGTTTCAGGACAAGGAAGTTGGTTCCCAACCATCCTCGACACGTGGAAGTTCAAAACAATGGGTCAAGGCTACACAAACTTCCAGGTTTTCATGGAATGGTTTGGGTTGGAAGGGACTTGAAAGATCATCTCTTTCCACTCCTTGCCATGGGCAGGGACACCTTCCACTAGCCCAGGTTGTTCCAAGCCCCGTCCAACCTGGCCTTGGACAATTCCAGGGATTCAGGAGCAGCCACAGCTTCTCTGGGAAATCCATTCCAGCCCCTCCCCACCCTCCCAGACAGCAATTCCTTCCCAATATCCCACCTATCCCTGCCCTCTGGCACTGGGAAGCCATTCCCTGTGTNTATCCCTGCCCTCTGGCACTGGGAAGCCATTCCCTGTGTCCTGTCCCTCCAGGCCTTGTCCCCAGTCCCTCTCCAGCTCTCCTGGAGCCCCTTTAGGCCCTGCAAGGGGCTCTCAGCTCTCCCTGGAGCCTTCTCTTCTCCAGAGGAATCCCCCCAGCTCTCCCAGCCTGGCTCATTCCCCCAATTTCCAATTAAACTGAGCCCCCTTTTCCAGCCTCTCAGGTCAGAACCAGCCAACCTCTCCCTCCGTGGTTTCCCACACTGTGCAGGACACGGATTTAACTCTGGGCTGCAAATCAGCTCTTCTTCCCTGTCCTGAGTGACCACCGGGGGCTGATTTTCACTCACAGCAACTGATTTGTCCCAGCAGAAACTAATTTTGCCATCATCAAGACAGAATAATGCGGAGGTAACTCCACATGGAAAACTTTTTCCAAGGAGAAATTCTCCACTCCATGATCTGCCCCACAGAGGAACTGGACTTGATGGTTGTGACACTTCTCTTCAGAAATAAGCCCAGAAAAAGGGAAAAAAATCCTTTTCTTTGTGACCTCCTGAACACCTATGGCTTTGGAATACTTTCCAAGCTCCTGATTTCCT